AGTGCACGCTCAGAGGAACCTCATAAGCTTAGCTCAAGCCTAATTGCAAGGAACCCCGATTGCCCAGAAAGTTTGACGAGTTATGGCTATAGCAAAATTGATTATTCAAACTTCACGAGTAGCTAAACTTGTAACTATATGAGCGATGATGGTCACAATTATGACTTATTCAACACATATTAACTATACATGTGATTGATTCAGCAGTTATATGCCCAATGAATGCTGAGTTTATCTGTTTAAAAATCATGTTTAGTAATTATCTTTTCAAAATCTCCCAATTTTTTTTTCTCTATTTTTTAACATTAGACTAAATCACATTATTTCAATGAACTGCGCAAATATGGCGCCTACAAAATCGATATCTAAACTCAAAGATAGGTACACCTCTTGTATCTATAGTGCAATTTTTATCCCTGTTTCAGATTGCAATGTCGCAAACCTTACTCCTCCTATGCGGCGATATCGAGGTGAACCCAGGTTCAGTCATGTCTTATGAGAACCTCAAAAGTATTGCAAAACAACACCATGATTAAATCAAGTTTCTAACTTTAAACTGCGGAAGCCTAAAAAACAAACATGCTGAAATACGCTTCTTTTCAAAAGTTTTTGACTCAATTGCTATAATTAGTCTCATCGAAACTTGGCTGGATAAAACATGCGATCATCTCACGTACTCGTTCTGTGTGTCAACCCATGTCATATTCCGAAGTGACCAGAATAAAACAAGCTCTGGTCAAAGCTCAAGGGTTGGGCACACTTCTTCTTGTCCCAAAAAAATTTTACCCTAAGATCCGAGAAGACAACATTTTTACGTCCCTATCACTTAGAAGGCAACTGGGTAGAATAATTTTAAAGCTGTCAAAAGGCAGGCAAAAGCGCTTGCGTACAATCCGCATAAACAATTTAAACAATTTTTCTTTGAAGACAATTCGAAGAAAGTATTGTTTATGTTTCTTCGGAAGCCAGAAGTTTAACTATCCTTGGATATCTCAGCATCAACTACCTGAACAAACCAGAAGCCAAATTTCTCAGCAGTTTGATTGAATCTTATAATTTGCCCGTGGTAAAAAAAACGTTGCCAGCATATAACTCTGGACATAGAAGATCTCTCTTTTATTATATTATCTCAACCAAATTCTTTTAAGGAAACTCTTGTAGCAGAAGCACCATTTAATATCCAATGACAAAGTGTTTTAGTAAAATCAAAACAAAAGAAAAAACGATCCCAACTCGAGTTTTGAGGTGCAACAAAAAAGAACAATAGAAATCGATCTTGTGAGAAACTTAACCAAAACAAACACATTCAAAATGGTACTTAAAATTGAACAGATACTGACAGAGGTTTTAAGTAACCACTCACCATTTGAAGCGAAATTTTTCCATAATTAACCACCACTTCAATTATCTTAAAAAGTTATGAAAACAATAGACCGATCGTTGAGATTGAAAAAGGAAATTGCACTAAAAGTTATCAGTCTTGGCAAACTGCCTTAGATTATGAAACACATGAACGAGCGAAAATTACATTCAACAATCCTCTTTTATTTTTATACATGAATGAGACGAAAGCTCCTTTTCAGAATCTTGACATTCCCAAAAAGCAATGGAACTTCATCAATTCCATCAGAAATACAGTGAAGCGAACTATCCAGATAAATGAATTGCGGACCTCATTTGGTATATAAATCAATTATAATAAAATGAAACCTGAGTAGCCTAATTACAGGTTTTCAACTCTAAGCATCTAAACAACTCCACGCTCTCCAATTTCAATGTCCACCAAACCTAGTGCTCTGAGAATTGATACCAAAGAGTTTCACTCAGATAAGTCACTCACAAAATAATGTTTGAAGCAATTTTATTGCTTCCAATCGATGAGCATGTAGGACTCAGTACAATACCTGTTAGGGCCCTGAAAGACAGTGCGCACACAATCAAACCTTTTTAAACTATAATAATAAAAGATTGTATCTAGAGAACTTTCTTGAGTTTTTTCGTTTTAAAAGAAAGAGAACAAGCCGATCCAATCAATTACCAACTAATTTTCATACTATCAGTTGTCTCTAATTTATTTCACAGTTTTTTTTCAGCGCAACTAAATAAATTTTTGTTCGATAATAATATTCCAAGCCTCAAACAATTCGGTTTTCAGTACGGTTATTCGACCAATGATGCTTTTCTAAACTCAACTGAAAAAATCACCTTTCATTTTGATAAGCATAGCTTATGTAGCAGCAGCGGAATGTTTAGATCTCTCGAAAGCGTTTGATCACATCCATCCCATTCTGGACTAAAAGTTGAGAAATTTTGCTTTCGAACCATCAGCCCTTGATCTAGTAGATTCCCTTCTAGAAAACAGACAGCAGCAAACAATTGTAAATGGTGCAAATTCAGGTTGGCTGAAATTGGGGGGGGGGGGGGCAAGGTGTGCCTCAAAGTATATTACTAGGACCTCTACTGTTTAACGTATCTGTTAATATTATGCCAGAAACTGTAGACTTGTACGGTACGCCGATGATACAATACTGCTAAGTTCAAATTCGATATCCACAACACAATTCATTAAATCCAGTTTCAAAAAAATGCTCTCATATTTTCATTTAAGCCAAATAATGATAAATGCAGGCAAAATTTAGTTCATCATTTTCTCTGTTCCAGCAGTAACAAACTCTTAAAACAACTGCAAGCTACAAGAAGGAAATTAGCAAGTCAAATTATTTGAATCCATCAGTTTTTTTCGGTGTTAACATAGATGCAGGTTTATCTTTTGAAAAACTTTTTTATCAAGGTGTTACAGATGATGGCTAGTGCAATCCAAACAATCAAAAGCATAGAGAATACGTTACTCTACGAACCGGAATCCTTTTACTCAATTCCCTTGTAATAAACAATTTACACTATCCATGCTTGCTTTTGAATATTTTTAACAAAGCAAACCTAGACAAGCTGGAAAAGTAAATAAAATGAGGTATACGGATTGTCATGAACATGAAAATAAGAGATTTTGTCACAAATGCGAGAGGAAAAACACATAATGCCTACTGCTAGAGATATATTCAAAGAGAGATAAACACAAACTCTTCCTTTATTCAGCTAAAACAGAACTGGAGCATTTAGGTTCTTGCAGTTTCCGAATTCTAATTTCCGACACAAAGATCGCGCCGATTCAATTCTCCTGCCAGGATTGTGTAAAACCAAAATTCTGCGTAGCTCATTCCTATTTACATCAATAAAAAGCTTTAATTTGGTAATTCACAAAATCATCTCCAGGAAGCAAACCTATACGTTATCAAACAGATTAAATAAAAAATGCATCTAGAGGATAAGTTTTAATGCATATAGAATATAGACTCTACGCCAACACCCAACTTCCCCATTTTTTCTCGAGAAGAGCTTTATATATTCTTATATAATCAGTCACTGATGAAACATTTTTTTCATTCACGTTTTTAATAATACTGTACACTTGTTCCATACACAACCAGTTTTGTATCTGCAAAATTGATGAAACAATAAAGTGGTTTTCTCTCTTCTTTTTGCTTTCACCAAACATCAACATGTTTGAACACGATTTTTAGCAGAATTCCCACCGTTTTACGCATTTAGTATCCAATTTTTTTAGTTCGAGTTAAATAATGGTTGCTTTTTCTCAAATGGAAAAAGTTGTAATAATAGCAGCTGACGCTAACCCCACTCTTATTCAGCCTACTGTTTTAAGTACTTAATGGATTCTGATTTTTTGATATGTTTTATCTTTATCAATCATGAGCTTTGCGATACCCTAATAATTTTGAGAAGATCAGCTCACTAGATAACTCTAAACGACATTGAATTTTTTGAGAAGATTTTTATGCAATTGAGGATGATTACTTTGAGGAAATTGGTTGTTTTCCAAGAAACTGGTTCTTAAAAAAGCTTGTCACATTTTTTTGGCTGTTCAGAAAACAATATGGAAAAATGAAAAATTAAAGTTCTCCAAAAAGCCGTGATGGTTTTTCATCTCATACACAGGATTTATTTATATTAAATTATTTCACATTGTACTCATATATTTTGTATTTAAACAAAATGTCGAAAATAAACTTAGTTTCAGTTGTTTGGCTGCTTAAACAATTTTAAAGTCCTAACGTTATACAATAGGGTCAATTTGCTTGAGATATATTAATGCTGTTTTAAATACAAAAGACATGGTAGGATGTTAAAAGTGTATTAATTTGCAGTACCTATAACTGCATGATTTGAATACCTGTTAAAAATAATTTTTATTCTGCCCATTCATCAATTGTTTTTTTTTTGAAAATTAACAATGAAAATTATTTGTTAGCACTTCATATCTCAATAAAGTGGGATATGCCGCCAAAGAAACTATAAAACTCAGTTTAAAACTCCCAACGCGGGGCATTTTAGCCCCATGGCTTTATGTCTAAATCCTTGTTTATTATTATTATTATAAAGATTAGCCACCTTCAAAACTTTCATGACGAACCTTACTAAATCTTTGGAAAAAAGCGCACTCTGTTAAAGCTAGATTTTAGCAAAATTTTCTCTAAATTTCCGAGATATGTCTCATTGATCGACGACAAGGACAGACCGTTTTTTAAACATATGTATTAAGGGCGGGAAAAGGTTGATGTTAACTTAACCTGGTTTCACTGCCTTTTTGGAAAGTCCATTGAGACTAAAGACATTTTGAGCAGGACTAAGATTAATTATCAGACTAACGAGTTGCAGGTACCTGTTTTGCTGAAAATATAAACGTTCACCTCCGATTTACTCAAAATATAAACTGCCGGTGTACTTTCATAAAAATCTTACTCTTTGAGTAAGCCCCAGACTTATCTAAGTAGCAAATGCAATGCTACAACGTAAAAAATAAAGATAAGCGAAGGAGCGCGGTGTCCATGAAAATTGAACAAGCCTCATGAAGCCAACTGTGTCCCGACATGCCTTGTTTGCGAAAATTTACTATGAACGATAAAGTTCATCGATGAACTTCGGAGTTGTGTGGTCGAACGTTATTGTCGAAGCCAGACATAGTTTGACTGAAAAATACAAAAGCAGGCAACAGTTGGCCGTTTTTTAGTCGACCTCAATGTGGGCCATAACCAAATGGCCATGACTAACTTTCTTATCGCGTTTTCCATGCTGTGGCTATCTTTGTACATTTATTTGAATATAAATTTACTATTAGTATTCTATTATGTTTAGCTCATAGTTAACTATAAGGTTTTAAGTAATTTTCTTCTGTTCAGGTTAAAATTTTTGAATTGGTTGAAAAATTGTTAAGATGCATAGTGCTTCAATCATCGGAGAACGAGGACTGGAATTCGTCCTCTTCATCACTGGATACGTTCTGCATGTCGTGTTTGAACTTGGTCAGCTGGTCTATCAGGGTCTCAAATTTGCCCTGGGACACAGTGGCAGGGGAGACTGACGACGTCACCCTCGCCTTGCCCCCCACTGCCCCGCCCTCGTTACCCTCCGCGTTCTCAATCTAAATCGCAGAAACAAATCCATTTAATCAGATTATGACATTGTATCATTGTCATAACAAAAACGAGAAATTTTTTTTTTGTACAAGCAACGTAGAGTTTTTTGAACGCAGGTGGGCAAACAAAAAAGGAGGCAACCAAAAAAAAGAACAGTAAAAAAATTTAAGAGTTATAGAAATTTAAGAAAAATAGAGAACTAAGTTTTCTAATTTTTTGTACAGATTCTTTTTCTAATTTATGTTTTAGGTCAATTGGTTTTTGTTGAAATTTTGTTAAAAATGCAGCAGAATTGAATTTGAATTTACTTCATTACTCCTCACTCAATCGAGTTCAGTCTGAAAAAGGTAACATTCAGACCAATTTTTCTGAACGTAGAGAAATTTTGTGAACGCGATTAGGGTTTGAGTATGATACCACATTTGAAGCTCACAAAATTTCATCGCAATAGCCAAAGACGGTAGAGCTGTTGAATACCCGACCTACGCCTTATATGAAAAAAAAGTGTCAGCTACAGGGCAGAATAAAAAAAATAGTTTTCATAAAAATCAAAAAATTAAAAAACTGAGAACACGTTTAAAATTTTTATAATCCTGGAGAACGTCATTTTCATTGAAGCTCCGTTAAAGGAAAAAATTGGCTACTCAATCTTATCATTTTGCTTACTTTCTTCAAAATACAGTAAACGATTATATTACTGATCTCTTTTTTCTAGGAGTTTCACGAGGGGGATTTTCAAAACTATTCGAACATTTTAATGACCTTTTTTAAATAATCCGAGGAAAACTGTTTTTGCGCAATTTTATTGATTGATTTTGACCAAAAAAACAACGCCGAAAGAAATGTTTTTTTTGGACGATCGGCCGAAAATGGATATCTTAATTTAAAACAGATCTTGGAAAAAATCTTCGGTTGGCAAGAGAATTTAGAGGAATAGAGTTTCTAGGTCAGTTATACATTTTTAATTCTGCATATTTTTTATTTTATAATATTAACCAAAAAAAATTTATTTTTTTTTTTCGAAAAAGGTTTCCAAATTTTTGTTAAAATTTGAGATAGTTATTGTTTCACTTACGAAATATGGTCCTCACTTGCCCAAAAGAAAAAAAAGATGTCTCGCAAAAAAAAACAGAAAACAATCGAACCGTGATTGTTGCGGCTTTCGCTAATGGGTCGAAAACGAAAAGTTAATTGAACAATTCAATCTTAATTTGAGAATCTGAGATGCAAAAAGATAACCACAAAGTTTCTAAAAAATTTTTTTCTTTGAATAACACACCATCACTTTGGTAAATGCTAGTCTCAAAAATATATTTGCCAAAATCAATGATGTATGTACGTGAAAAAGTGTTTGTAAATTTTGCGAAAATTGCAATAAAAAAAAAGGAAGCTCTGTTTTAAAGCTTGATCAAATCCGAGACATCTGTTCCAAGTTACATATACCTTCTCGTTTCTAAATTGTAGTTATTTTTTGAAAAATTTAAGGCATTTTACTCTCCTTGTTTTTTCTTGAAAGTCTTCGCTCCCGGAATTGAAAATTTTGCTTGAAGTTTTCCATAAAAAGGCGCTGAACGAGCCCAATTTTTAGCACGATTAGTCCCTAGTTATCACGAAAAAATTGGTCCCAATGGCGCCCAATTGGAGACCAATGTTTACAAAATTGAGGTCATTGATCCTCTTCTATGAGACCAAAGTTGAGGGGTTCGAACCGAATATTTGAGTACCCAAAACCTTTGTTCTTCCTCTGGTCTACTAATCCTTAGAATTGCTGTTTGTTGTGATTTTTTATATCTCAAATCAGAAACTGGATCAGCAAAATTTGCTAATAATTTAACTAATTGAGCTTTTTTTTTGTTAAGAATTGGGCTTAGTCAGCTCCGTACTGAGAATGGGACTCATTTGGAATGTTTTTTGGAAATTTGGACTCAATCAGCCTCACACTGAGAAACTTGGGACCGAAAATTGAATTAAAACTGAAAAACTGGGCTCTTTTAGCTCCTTTTGCTTAAAAAAATGGGCCCCACTCTGCTCGTGTTTCTTAAGAGTGAGCTCATATAGCATCCTCCGTGGAAAAAAGAGACGAAAACGCAATTTTGACACGGGACTTGCAGAGGATTAGATCAAGGTGTTATCATTACGATTATTCAATGAGGTAAAGATTAACTCCTTTGCAAACTTGTGGTACATTTCTTGCAATATATTCTATCTGCGTCGCTGTCTAACCTTATGAAGTTTGTTCTTGTTGAAATTCGCGATGGCGTTCAACATCATATCACGTTTGTCCTCTTCCTTGGGTGGAGCTGGTCTGTTATCATGGGCACTGGGAGCCGACAGATGCACTTTATTCAGAGCAGCTGCCGAGATACCAGACGCACCTCCGGAACCTCCGGATGCTGAAGACATTATCGGAGGGGGTGGTGGAACTGGAACTCCAGAGGGTCCAGGAGGAGGAGGCGGAGGGGGAGGGGGAGGGGGTCCACCTGTGCGCACTGGAGGGGGAGGTGGTGGCGGCGGCGGAGCCGTACCTGTCGATTGATTCGCATTCTCAGTCTGGGGCTTCGGTGGAGCGGGGGCGCTTCTTCCGAATTTTGGCTTGAAATTTAATGGATTCGTTAATCCAGATTTCTTCTGCGCTGGTTGTTTTTGAATCACTTCTGTCGATGATTCTTCTGGAGCTTCCAGTCCCAGTAATTTTTTATACTCGGCCAGATCAGTTTGTTCATGCGACTCCAAAGTTTTTTTAATTTTTTTGAGGAACTTTTGACCCTGTTCCGATTCACCTGTGCAATCAGGCTGCATCATTTTGAGAATAGCCAGTGCTAGGATTTTATCAGTCTCGCTGTCGCCTCGATCTACGATGTGTGTCTTGCCTAGTTCGGCTGTAGCAGTTCCGCTGCTCACGTGCTGAACAGTAACTGGCAAGCTGATCAAATTTTTCAGCTCAGTGTTATCTTTTTGAGCTGTGAACATGTTCCTCAGCTTGTCCCGTGTTCTTATTTTTGTCCCATTTTCTTCCACACTGGGCGATTTGAGAAATGCGTTCTGGTGTTTTCCAAGATCCCTAGCTTCCTGTTTGGTCAGAGTCTTGTCAACTGGGATCGCTTCCGGTCTGTTGGGCACCACACTTCCTTTGTGAGCCAGTTTTTGTTGGGTCGCTCTTTCCTTCCGAGCAATTTCCTCGTCAACTTTCCTCGCAAAGTTGTCCGCCTCATTTCTGTCGTAGAAATTAATCCCGACCACATTTCGTTCCCCTTCGAAATGCATGAACAAACTGTTGTTCCTCTCATATGTGAACCCTCTGTACATTTCTTCAAGGAATATTTCCTTCTGTTGAATTGGGTCGAAAAGGGAGAAGAAATAACTTCTGGCCCTGTTGTCTTTCACCAGACACAATATCCCACATCCCAATTTCTGCCAGTTTGGAGAGTTTCCGCCGGCTTGGAACACCCTGGCTACTGCTGTGGCCTGTGGCTTGCGCCCGGCACCAAGCAACGCCGCCACCATTTCTTTCTCGCGGTGACTGAAAAAAAATATGTCCGCTAAAGTAAAAAACTGTCCGATCCCAATAAAATTATAAGGGCGAATTATCAACAAAACGCCATATCTTGAAGCTTAAATTAAGTTATAACAACTTCAGAATTACATAAAAATTGCATAACAACAGTGAAAATCTGTTATGTTGCAGAATAATATGAATTTTCGGCTTGTTGGCATACCACTCTTTTTAATTGCGTCACCATATTTCGTTGTATGGAGTAAGAATGCGCTCCCCTAAGTGTGTACAACGCAAACAGCGTCGCGTTTAGAGGGGGGTGATTTGGCGAACACAGAAACACCTCCCCTGTCCCTCAGGGACTCGACACCTTGGCCACTTAAAGAGTAAACCCTTTACTGCTGTTTTAGTAAAACCAATTTTAGTCGGCCAAGTCAAATAGTTTTCAGATGCACTCTTCGAAGGCAGACTACTATAATTTTGACAAGAAGCCCGAGTAAAAAAAGCAATTTTTGATCCAAACTGTCAAAAAGGATCACAAAGTTTTTTTTGAAACGAATTCGACCCCCTTACCCTCGAATAGTTTGTTAATCGGGTCCCGACAGCAAAAATATTCAAGTGTCAATAGACCTAGAAAATGAAGACTTTCCTCGAATTACAATAAATGTGGTCCGTTTTCATACAATGCCAGAAAATTGTCATTTTTCCAAAAACCAGAAGGAGTCTTTTTTTCTTATTAAAAATTCGAATTATCATCTAATGATTATTTCTTCACAATTCGAGGTCTCAGTGTTTCTCCTGTCTTTTTGCACTTTAAAGACCCGAAAAAAAAGTAAATACAACTTCATTTGAGCATAGATTTTTGGGTTTAACTAAAACGAGAGATGTACTTACGATAGATGTTCCGACTGAATCATGTCTGCAGTTACCAAATCTGACAGGTTAGAAGAAGGCATCTTGCAGGGGTCAACTTCTGTTTATTATTCTACTTTTAAAGTTGACAGGGCAAATATCACAAAGTTGTAAAATTCAAGATGCGGTTATTGACTATAACTCGCCTATAGTTTTAATGTTCAACGCAAGAATTGGTATAATTTCTCGGTTTCTCGTAGTCTATTTTAAATGGTAACTTATTTGAGCAAACTGTTGGTGAACAAATGTTTACAGTACGTGGTGTTTATTTATCATACTATTTGCTGGAGTCAACACAAAACTATCAAAATCAATCATATGTTCACAATAATTGCTTTACTGCTTAGTTTTCTTGAGAACAGATGAAGCAAAAAACACAAATTAAAGCTTGCCATAATCTTATATGAAGTCATTCAACAAGAGAAAACGAGAATCCAGGGTTTTAAAACTCCCAGAATTGTACAGCTGGCTGAATACGCGGGTTGACCAAAACCTCTAATCAAAAAAACTTCCGATAAATGAAAAACTTTTAGCCATGCAAATCCTTTTAAGACCATACGTACAGAGAACTACATGAAATCAATATGAAAAATATTTTTCCATGCATGAAAAGTGTATCTCTAGTTTTTTTTCAAAAAATAAAAATTTCGATTTGTATTTTTATTTTGCATAGAAATTTTTTGTATATCTTTGTGCTTCGTCCAAAAACACAAAAAACCAAAGATTTTCGGAAATTCAAAAACTCACGGGTTGAGGACGAGAATTCTCGCCGATAATTGCATTATGAGGTCAAACTGTGCTCTAGATAGGATAAAAATTTAGCGCATGTAATTTTATGGAATTGTTGGAATTCGCCATTTTAATAAATGGTCTCTTGTTAACTAACAGTTCGTCTTACTTGACCTTGATAAGTTCATTCTCTCCATCGAAGAGAATATCCTTTTAAATTTGAAACTAAATCATTCCTCACTATTTATTGTTTTTCAAATTATAAAAAGGTAGAATTAGCTGTAACGAAGTTCGATTTTATCATGGCGCAGCAGACAAACAGAAACAAATCAAACGTGAAAGGGAAAACTTCCCTTTTGGCAGAACCATTCGGTAGACCCACGCAATCTGTGGGAGGATTGGTTTGACTCTTATCATTTAGCAGTTACGGCTATTAGATAAACCGACGGATGGTGAAAGCGAAACTCAGAAAAAATCAAGATTTGAGAGTAAACTGCGCGAACAAACGTGATTCGGCGGTGAAGAAAACGGTTCAAGTGAAACAGAGACAGATTATTTCAAGAGGATGCAATTAGACAAGACAGACAAGAAACTGCGACAATTGTTGTATCCCGCATTGGGAAACGAAAAAAACGGGTTTTTCTGCAAAACTTCATAGAAGTCAAATACCTTCGGATTTCGTTCAGAGAGTTTGGGGATTATTGAACAACCGTTTTCATGAGAATGACTTTTGTTATTTTCGAGAGATAAAGATTGCTAAGCCAGTAAGACTGCGACAGAAAATCGTTAGTGCATCTCTTGGGAGCATTAGCCGAAATTGAGAAGACGTTTAATTTTACTAAGGGAGAAGAAGAGTGAACTAGGAAAATATTCCAAATCATAATAAGAGTTTTGACATTCAACGAAACCTTCACACAGAAACACTGACAGAAGCACATCAATACGCACACCTATGTGGAAAGGAGTAACAAACCACAGAAAAAAGGACAAATAGTTTTAATTCCACTTCTTTGCATGAGGTTTTTATTAGTTTAATGTCACAAAAAAGCAACTCTAAACATAGAAGGTAAGAAGAGCTGTGTGAAACGTGGCGGTACACTTTTACAGCGACATCAAGTTGTCTGCCCGGCAAAAGACTCAATCTCCACATCCTGTAAAAACAAAGCTCATTTCACCAAATCTTGTAACTCTTGTCCGAAAAATGTGAATGCTCTGTAAGTTTTCTCAAAAAGGAAAACTTACAGGAAGTCTACACGAGACTTCACCTGAACTAAATATGTCTCACGGAGCAATTGCTTATTCTTTTAACCTACGGCTTTGCATACAGTGCAATCAACATCATGAGAAAGCTATATATACCCTTTTTCTGAAATGGATGGTTTCACAATGAAGATTATTTTTACCGATGGACTCGAAAAAATATCCTCGGGAACTTACCCAAAGTGGGGATTGAAGTCTGGCAGAAACATTTCCCACACTTCCAAAAAACAGGAAGTCCAGCAATGAAGTTTGTTTCGCTAAGTGCTAAAGAATAAGAAATTGATTCAATAATCAAGACATTTCAGCAATTACTCCAATGTTTAACTATAAAGCGGATGAAAATTACCCACTTTTACGAGTCATTGAAACTAAAACAGTTAAAAGGTAGACACGTTAAAAGCACATGCTATACACTGTTAAAATGGAACTAAATTGAGTTAAATCAGAAGGTCATGTCACGAAAATTTTTACGAAGACACTCTCTTTAACCCGATTGTCATTAGGTTTGAAAAAGATAGACCCATCAAAAAGTCATTCGATTCAAAACTCACAAATCATTGCCAAATGACAATCAAAAACGATTTGATAGATAAGGCTGCTTCATAAATATTGAATGGCTCCATTGTAGAAGTTTGGTTTATCAATGTTGATTCTGAACACGCAAGCATTCAACTGACATGAAAACTTATTGCACGAAACCAATTCAGTATAACGAGCGGTAATAATACCGGAATTTATCGCGATGACTTGGTGTTATGCCAAGTGATTTTCAAAGATTCATGGACTCAACTAGTGGGAAAATCTTTTTTACAAAATGTTATCTCGATGACCTAATAATTGCACCCAAAAGAAAAACTTAAGAACTTAAAGTCACACTGTATAATTTTAAATCAATCTGTAACAATTTTATTTTTGCACTTTAAGTGGTCCCAACTTAAAAAAAGATCGAGTCGTTTGAGTTTAGAATAGCGAAACCAGGCGTTTCATCATTGGTTGTCAAAACTTAAGCCATAAATTTCAAAAAATCTCTTTTATCTAAGATCGTTTTTCGGTTCAATAAAGCAGTACAGCAGTACGGTTCCTTTTTACTAGAAAAAATTCTTATAAAAAGGAACTTTCCTCCACTGAAAAAATCCGACACTGGACTAAATCAAGGTTTAAAACTTTGTATGCATTCAAATTTGTATTTATGCATCGACACAATGGAGTGCGGCCAGTATTTAGACAGCCGCGTATTCATACTGGTCAGTATTTAGACAAATACTGTTTCAACCAATCAGAATCGAGAAAAAACATAAATAATCCAAAATAAATAATAATTATTTATTAATTTTTTCTTTGTCTCGATTCTGATTGGTTGAAACAGTATTTGTCTAAATACTGACCAGTATGAATACGCGGCTGTCTAAATACTGACATGTAACCGACACAATAAATCTAAGGGATCTTGTTAACTATTCCCCCCCCCCCCCCCCCTATTTTGATTTCGACTTTCAGAAATTCAACTTTGGCTGCCACACTTTCAATAGCTTAAAACAGTTTTAAGAAAATATATTGAGTAAAACATTTCTATGTAGGTATTATATAAATAGCGAGTAATACAAATACGAACGCGCGAAAATGAAAACCCAATTAGTGTTTGACATTTTTGAAATGCATATTTTATGCAGAAATGCTTGTCAAAAATAATACATGATTAGGGGTGAAAATAGTTAACAAGGTCCAAAGGGGGGGGGGGGAATAGTTAACAAGATCCAAATAAAGTATCGACAGAGTTTTAATACTTCCTTCGGCACAAATTTATCATCCACTTCTTCAAACACAAATTGGTTACCGCAGTCTAATAATTATCTACACGGATTTCTTTACTCAATTCATTTCAACATTGCTGCTTGCTTATTTACAAGCCAAGATTTTAAAATATTTTGCAATTCTGATCACATCAAGTGATCACTTTTTTTCTGATGACATTTTTTCTACACTAGACTATCACCGTTCCAACGCTTTAGTTGAAAAATATTGCACATACTGAAACAAAATTATGAGCAATGGCCCCCAAAAAAAGCTTCGTTGCAAAACGTTGTCTCAAAAATTACGCTCAAGATATTCACCACAATAAAAAATCTAATACAAGTTGAAACAATTCGCATCTAATACTTCCGGAAATAGTACAGAGCACTAACGGGATCCAACTAAAGGATGTTGATTGAGAAAATGGGAATTCAAATAAACCTACAGTTGAAATGACCGACGGAAAAATCATCAGAGAAACTGATATTGCCTTGCCTAATTCTGAATCAGCTCAACTTCGAGTTTTTGAGGTAACCTTTCCCTCATAATCAGGGTCGGATCTAGGATTTTCTCGATCGAGGGGGGGGGGGGGGGGGGGTGGACTTTCAAAAATTTTGTCGACCTTATTTTGAAAAAACAGTCCAAAGAGGGCGTTTTTAGGCACTTTTTGGAAAGTTTTGACCAAAAAGTCGCGTTTTTTCGGCGCGCGCTACCCCCCCCCCCCCCCCCCCCCCCCTCATATTAGTATATTTTGGCGCCAAAGGCGCCTTTAGAAAAATTTTAGAGTCAGTCCGCCAAAACTGAATTTCCTACAAAGTACCAAAGAAAATGAGAGGCAAGCCGACGCCCCAAACGATAACTGACAGAGTGTAACACCTTTGATTATAAGCTAGAGCTGTGAAGGTGAAAAATGTCGGCGAATAGGTGCAAAGAGTCCCCATGAAAACATTGCCGCACCCCACAAAAAGTATTTGTGGTTAGAAGTTGCTTTCGAAGGACAATCTTCTTGTTTATATTCTTCAATTGACTTATCAGTTTGAAATTGTTTGTTTCTATGAAAAAAAAATTGAAGGAGAACAAAAACATAGAAGATGAAAATAATATTCCAAGAATAACACAGAATGCAATTTGAGGTCCGAATAAAAACTGACCCGACATATTTGATAGCGAATGTTCAGCATCTTGTAGAGGCTGAGTGGGTTCAAAAGCCACGCGATACCCTTGTAGACATGACATGATAGTTGTAACAGCTCCACTGGAAACTTGGCCGACGAGCACAGCTGACAGAAACGGCTTCGGGTAATATTGTTCCAAGTGCATCAGAAACACAGTTGACCTCAAGGAATCGATTCCAAACAGAAGTCCAGTATGAGTTTATAAACCCAATACTCAAGTTGTAATCGAATAAACTATTTGGCTCTGTTTTGTCCCACATAAATATTAGACTAGTACCTATAATAACGCCCAATAGATTACATACATGCAA